CCCCAAAACCCCAAAACCCCAAAACCCCTAATTTAGCAGATATTATTGAATTTAAATTCAAAAATGAACTTTATGACGAAAATGCGGTCATTAGTTGGTATGTCGTATTGATAATAACTCTAGATGATTCTGATAAGGGTAACTTCATTGTATAATTCATTAGAAAACTGCAATGAACTAAATAAACCCCATTTTGAAGCAGGTAATAAAATTATTGTTAAAATAAGTTACATATCATAAAAATAGCTTTACATCTGGAGTTAAAAGAAAGGAGTATTATTGGCTCTCTTCTAAATCTTTAGAAATTTGGAATTTTTTACTAAAATTAATATAAATCCCCAAAATTTTAAAAAAGAGAGAGCATATACTTTATAATAATTGTTAAAATCCAAAAGTACCATTAAAGACCTGTAAAACTAGTAATCTAAACTATACCCAATACAACTTTCCAGAATCAGCAAAACACTACAATAACCCCCATCTTCTCTACAACCCACCATTTAAATCACCAACTAGGCTTCATACCCACCCTATCTAACCCTCACCCCCAAACCGCCAGGGCCCAAATAACCACATTCTACAAAACCACCTCTCGGTAAGCTCCCAGCTCCTCACCCTCTTCCTAGTCCTGGTCCTAAAATCCCATCATGCAGCTCCAGCCAGGCTCGATCCCAAACCTTTATAAGACCAGATAGGAATTATTATTGAAGAAATAAGCCTGAGGGAAGAGATCTTAGTTGTAAGACCTTTAGGGTTAGGAGGCATGAGGATTATGAAGATGACTATCAGATTAGGTCTTCCCTTCTGAGTGAGATTTCGAAGAACACTGAAAGTGAATATAGTGGGTACCTTAGGACCCCGTTTAAGGAAATCAAATCTATGAGAGCAGTTAAGTAGGCCAGTTTTGGTTTATATTTAGCCATAATGAGGAAGAAGAGAAGCAGAAGAGTGAACATAATAATGGCAATGGAGGAATTGTGTGTGATGAAGAAGAAGATAGCAGGAGATTGTTTAATACTGCAAGACCGAAAGAGACAAAGAAAATTTCGAGGAAAAGTATCCGACTTGGCAAAAAGAAGAAAATTAAAATCAAGAAAAAGGGTAAAAAGGAACAGTTGCTGAGTGAAAGAAGGAAGTATAAGAAAAGAATCAAAATGCTACATTTAGCAATGAGGAGTATTATAATCTTTATTTTATTCTTCTAGAAGAATTCGAGAAGTTGATTAAAAAGAAAAAGTTCAAAAACAGCAATAGACCTTTTAAATGAATTATCCTAAACACCATAAATAATCTTAAATCCCGTAACACCACCAGTCGGTGTAAAACCCGTACTCTTCTCACAGATGGTTGGAAGGTAAAAATCTCAAATCCAAAGCCCACCACTTCCACTCATCGTTCTAAATCCCGTTCAAAAAATCCTAAGCCTGGTGGGCAATCCCGGTCCCACTTAAACTCCAATACAAAATCCATAAAAAATTCCCGTTCAAAATCAAGAACTCCCTCGATTTCCTCGAAATCTTCAAAACCACAAAAATCAGAACAAAATTTCAAAAAATTAAAAATTTCAAAATTTCAAAAAAAATTTCAAAATTAATTAAAATTTCACTTTTTCAATATTTTTGAATTTTGTGGGGTTTTGGGGTTTTGGGGTTTTGGGGTTTTGGGG